GGGTGCCCAGCACGGGCTTGCAAGGGACAGGGGTCTGTGAAGGAGCACAGCTCTGGAGGTGGTCACTGAACTCCAGCTGCTGGCTCAGGCTCTTGCAGGGGGGGGGGTCTCAGCCCTGTCCCCTGCCAAACTGGGCACTCAATGCTCCTGGTGCTGCCCCGGGGCAGATCCAGAGCTCAGATCCCCTCTCTGGGAATAACAGAGCTGGTGCTGTGTGGCAGGCACTGGTCTGACCCCACTGCACTTGGGGGGCTGCAGCACCAGGCAGACCACTCCAACCTGCCCTGCTTGGGAGTTGCTGGAACGCTGCCAGTCAGTACAGTCTGACCCTGTGGTCCTGCAGCTCATCTGAGGGCCTCGCTGACACGAGCAAGCAGGTTTCTGATGTGAAAGGCCAACACAGCTTCAGGCTTTGGGCTGGGGCTGCTGCAATGGACAGTTCCTAAAACCATCTCTGCTCTATCAGTGCTGCAAAATCCGCCAGGAGCTGTGGCTGCAGGAGGCTGGAGCTTTTCCAGTGCTTTCACCTTGAGGTCAGTGGTTCAAATTCAGCCTGGGGGTAGGGAGCACCATAAGTGGATGTTACTCCTGATAGATATGCAAGAGAGGAGGATTTAGGAGAAATTGGTCTGGGCCATTTTCAGGAACAGACATCCCTCTTGTTAGAGCTAATTAGGGGCCTCAATTCATTTGGCAAGGGGGTTGGACAAACCACGAGGCTACTGAGGCCGGGGAGCTGCTCCGCACTGGGCTGTGGGTATCTCCTTGCTCCCTGTGGGAGACTAACCCTTTATAAAGACAGAACTTTTGGGCCTTCCAAATCCCTTGCACATCCCAGCAGATGTTGAGCTGAACCTTGTGCTCCACTCCTGCTTCTCCTAATGCTTCATTCCCCAAAGTGTTTCTCTGGGTGGTGGGGGGCACCCTGATATCCCATCCCACTGATGAGCAGTGCTGTGGTTCCCCATGCTTCCAACCTGGCTCTGTTAGGCACTGCTTCATTTGCCAGTGGGATTTCCACAGGGAATCATTTCATAGGGCACCTTACCAGATTTGGGCTCCAATCTAATTGCATACCAAAATCTGGAAATCTAACAAATACCAACAGCAAAAAAAAAGGGTTACACAAATCTCCCTCATGACTCTCCCAGTAGCTGCAGACTTGAGGAAACAGCTTCTCTCCTTCCAAACAGGCTGCTCTGCCTTGTAACCCCTCTGGAGCCAGAAGCTCCTCTCCTGCCCTGCAGAACAGCTCGGTGCTTGCAGGGGTGCAGCTGACATAGGACCTCCAAAACTGCTCAGAGGTGGTTTGATTCTCACTCTTGGCAGAGAAACCCTTTCTCTTTGTGTTCGAGAGGTCATGATGCACGAGTGGGAGAGGGATACAGGCTGACAGTCTGAGAACCAGCCCTGCTGGCACCAGGATCCTTGGAAAAACTCAGCAAAGCCCTGGCTCATTAAAGGGAGATAGAGAGCGACAGTGACAGCCACTGTCCTGCTGCCCATAGAGCTTTGCTGTTGTGGACAGAGAGCTGGCGAGGGTAGGGGCAGGATGCCATCCAGCAGTGCTCAATGCCCTGAGACCACCAAACAGCTGCACAGCATTTAGCCCAGGCTTGACATCAGTTCCTGCTCACAGCTGCCAGGGGCTTGGCAAAACTCTGCTGTCACCCATCTTCTCCTCCCTTCCACCTGCCTGTCACTGGAGGGGTCATAAACTGGCATCCTTCCTTCTCCATGAAATGAGCAGATGCCAGTTTTTTACTGGGTGAAGGAGTCTTCCACACCTGTTTGGGTCCATCTCCTTCTGGTCCTTCCCATAGGACAGAATCCCCCAGCCCCCTGTTGCCTGTGGCAGTAGTAGGAATCAGAATCTCCTCTGCCACATCCCGCTCCTGCTCTCGCCTTTCTCATTTTTCAGCACAGCTTTGCTTGAAACAGTGGCACAGCCTGCAAGCCAGGAATGGTGGTGGAGCAAGGCCTCCTTCCCAATTCATCACTAATGCAGGAACGTCAAGCCCTTTCTGGCTGCAGTGAGCACCAGATAAAAGCTAAAAGAGGCATCAATAATTAAGAACCACTCAGAGCTGGTAAGTGCAAACAGGAGCCAACATACAGATCGAAGCCAGTGCCAGAGATCAGAGTCTGTCAGCTGCTGGGTTGTTCTGAGGGCTCCCACTTCTCTTTTGCAGGCATCCCCCAGTCCACAGCCCCCAGGGTGACAAGGTGTCCCTGGCACCGGGGGGGGGCACAAGGGACTGCAGGGAAGAGTGATGCACGGGAGGGGCCCTGCCTGGGCATGGTAGGAGGGAGCTGGGCTCCTGCCTGTCCCTAAGGGCTCTGGGGACATGTGGCTTTGGAGAGTGAATGCCAGTACTGGGGGCTCGGGGATGGGTACCTGCGGGCTGGTCCTGGGAGCATGATCAGGGCACTGAAGAACCTTGATTTCTAGTACAGCTTAGGCTTAGCTCTCACCACCTTGATGCCAGGTCCTGTCCTCAGTTTCCCTTCTCATCTCATTTTCATTCTAGGACAGACTCCAGCCAGGATGAGGCCCCTCTTTGTGCCAGATACTGGTATACATGGCCTGGGAAATTCATGTTGTCTGAGAGTTCCATGAACTTGTCCCTGCTGAATTCAAGGCTCCTCATTCAAGTATGCAAGTGAGGAGCTGAAAACAGGATGGTTTGGAAATGATGGGTGGCTGCAGGGGAGCCCAGGCCACCCTCAGCATCTCTGAGAAACACAATGGGTTCTGCCCTTGACCATCCACTCTAGAGATGTGGTGGGAGCAGGAGGCTGCGCCTGGGGAGAGGAATGGCTCAACCCATAGCACAGAGTTGGGACAGAGCTGGGGCTGCTCTTCCTGTCAAGGACAGGAGGCTGTGTGTTCCCCTGCCCCAGGCTGGCGCTTGGGAAGGAAGCTGAAAGGTAAAATCATTAGGGTAATTCCAGCAGCAGCAACCTGCTTTGCTTGGATTCAGATTCAAATGGAGTTCCTGGGTGTCCAAAGCCCAGGTTGGTTTGATTTCTCTGCTGGTTATAAACAGAAGGGCTGTTTACACCACTTGCCTCTTGATCCTGGCCTGGATTTCAAACGCCTTCGTCCTTTGGGGCTATTCCAGGCATTGCCGCTACCAGGCACGAGCGCGGCTGCTGCGGGAGGGGGCCGGGCCTCAGCTCAGCATCCTCAGCAGTGGTGGGTCTGGGCCGTGTCTGCTGCCCTGCACCTTGTCCCTGTGCCAGGGGGAGCAGCGGGACCAGCTCCCCTTGCTGCTGCTCCTGGAGGCCTGGGGATGCCAAGGGTTAACTGCTGTTGATTTCTCCCCAGTCCAAGCACTGGGAGCTGAAGCGAATTAATCTCTGGGTTACAGGCTGTGCTGCTCCAGGGCCCATGTCAATCAGTAATGGAGGGCGAGCAAGACGTGTGTGACATCCATCACTCCAGAGCTGCCTGTTCCAGGTTTACCTGTGTCACTCTCCGAGACGGAAGAGCAGAGAAACTGCCTAGGGAAAACTGGCAATTTTTGGTGAGGAGTTTTGAAAAATGTGCAAAGCATCTCCTCAGTCTCTCCTTCCCTTGAAACACAATCTGAAGTGTTTCCAGCTTTTGAAAAACACTTTCCTTAAATAAAACCCCCACAACTCTCCCAATAAGGCAACAAACAAAAAAACCTCTAAAACTTTACATTTGAATTAAAATATGTATATTCATATGTGCAGATATATGATGCACACACACAGACATATATGTGGGAGGGTTTTAGGGGGCTTTGGAGCTAGTGCCGGGCTGGTGTCCATCCCTGCCTGTGTCACCGGACCTACCCAGTGAACATCTGTGGCCAGGGAAGGTAAACGGGCAAGTGCTGGGGCTGACAGAGTCTGGGGCCAACCTGGCAGGGGAAACAGGGGATGACATGGAAGCAAGAGGAGGGAGAGCCTCCTGTGCCCACTACCTTGCCCCTGCCCCTGCCGCCAGCATGCAGCAAGTAAATAACAAAATGAATAAAAGATTAAGATGAAATTCGAAGCATTAAATATTTAACCTTGTGCTTGCCTGTGCAGTGCCCAGGTACAGCTGGGTCCTGCAATATTTAAGGGTTCTTCACTGGCCTTTACCGCCCTCGAGTGCGAGGACTGCACAGCAGCTGCAGCTGGAGAGTCGCGCGGGACAGGGAAGGGACCCTCGGCGAGTTCCCCTCCGGGAGCTCCCGGGACTCTGCGGGGCAGAGCGGAGCATCCTCCCCGCGCCCCCCGGGC